GGGTAAGAAATAAGACTAAAAGCCATTCTTGCAACTCTGTCACTGTATATAATACGCACCCTGTTCAGACAGAAAATATAGTACAAAACTTACTGTATAATACAAACCCCTTCCTACCCTCAAGTAAATCAGGAAAAATTTCTGTTACCATTACCAACTACACTTCCCTTCCAGATGACAAAAATTAACTAGTTGACTTGGAATTCCCAGTGTGTTTCTTTTAAATTGGACAGGGGGATTGCTAATCTGCGTGTCAAGGATAGTAAAAGGATTTTATTCAAGTTATATTGTCTCTTTTCGCATTCGAATATAGACAGCGAGTCAGGTATTAAATGTCTTTAAAGGATCCTCCTGCAAAACTACAATAGATCTTGCTACTATTTTTGAGACAATTCCTTCAAGTTATATTGTAGAAGCAGTAGGATTCTATTGAAGATATCACAAGGTCATGAATGCTTTAAAAGGGTTCAATCTCTTGGCACCATCTTACTGCAAATTACAATACAACTCTTCTTTAACTATATAAATGTATAAGCAGCATGATTTCAATAAAGATGTTAGTCAGTGTGATATTACATGTAAAGGTGATAATTAGATCCTCTATACAGTCTGTAAGCTTTAATTTCCTCCACTATCTTAATATGACTTAACACCTAATACAGAGTCTTATCACAGATTATACTGCTTTACTTACTTATATAGACTGATATCTTAAGGAAGGTTTAAGACAACTGGTAATTTTCAGACCCATAGAGACTCAAATAGAACTCTACAGGCCAAAGACAATATGAAATTTTTGCTTTAAAGGGATTGTGTAAAGAGGTTTTCTAGCCTTTTAATGTGTATCAGGGACACTTTTGACTTCTATTTTTCGTCCGATGTCTGTGGTTCCTGCAATTTCAGAAAGAGTTAATTGGAAATGCAAGAGAATTCGTAACCAGACCAGAATAACATAATAATATATGTTATCAGGTATTTCTGGAATTGCAGGCTTCTTACAAAGAATTAGAATGTCCCTAATAGAAGTCAAAGGTGTCCCGATACAAATAAAAAAAAACTAGAAAACCTTTTAACAATCCCTTTAAGTGTGGTCCGCTTCGGTAGATTTTTTCCAAGGATTGATCAGATTTTCCTTGAAACTGTTCATTGAAATCCAGACACTCTTGTTTCTCCCTTGCCCCTCCCTTGCCCCTCCCTTATCTCTATAGATGTGGGAAGTTATGTTGGGATATTATAATGCAGTATCTGCAATTATCAAAATAGCTTTCAAAGCCAAACTTTACAACGTCACAAAACTGTATTAATAAGCAACTATAGTATAAGTAGAAACTACCCTCTATATTTGTCAAATAAGATAGGATTTTCTACTGTGAACCTAAACAAGAACAAAATTATTGAAATTGTCCCTGCATCATTACTCAGTATGTAATGAACCATGTTTGTTAGAACACATTGCCTGCTCTATCTAATAATCATCACAGGAACTGTCTTGGGAATTTTATATCTTCATCGCATGTCTAATAGTTTACAGAGCCGGTTGAGCTGACATTTCAATTTTAAGTTTTCTGATTTTTAATTTAGGTTTGATAGACATGTATGCATTCAATCGTAAGTCTGAAAATTAGAAGCATAAACAGTTTGATGCTAATTTTTGATTATTGTTTGTTTTCAAAAAGCATTTTTTTTTTTTTCAAAATTTGTTATTTTTTAAATTTTTATAAACATACTTTAATGATATTTATTATATTTTTGAAGAATTGGCTAATGAACTAGCTAATTCAAAACTTTCTGATCCTTTTTCATTTGAAATGTCAACATATTTAGATTGTTGTCAAAAAGACATTTTCATTTTGGCATTTCAAATTTTCTAATAAGTTTTATCAAAAAAAAGAAAGGAATTTCTTTTCAAAGATTTGAAATTTTACAATTTTATATCATTTTCATTACATTTACTTTGACATTTCGTGTTCTGTTTTGTATTTGTTTTGATTAACCATACGTTTGTTTGAATCTTTGAATTTGATTTTAAATTATTGAATTTTCTGTGTTTACCAGACGATTGATTCCAATTTGATATTAGCCATTAGAGCTTGATACATTATAAAATCAACATTCAATTTGTCACGATTCAATTCTCTTTTGATGCATTATAAATCTGTTGTTTTATACATCTACTTGAAGGACTGTTAACGTGATTGTTTTTAAGAGTTATGTTTGGTGTTATTTTAAAATCTTTAAGTTAAGTCTATCAAGAGGACAGATTGAAATTCTATAGTACATTATACATTATAGATTATCAAATTTGTCATATTTCATTTCTCTTTTGAATTTGCATTATCACAGCAATTTTCGTGAACACACCCATATGAAAGACTGTTTTTACCAGACATGTGTAATATTGTTCTTAAAGACCTCAAGACAACAGATTCAATCTATTGTCTGAGCAAATTAAAAAATTGTTTGAATTTTTTCGAAATTTGTTCAAGAGAATTGGAATATCAGCATCAAAATAGTACTGATAGTCTTGGAATGTCTTTGTGTTGATAAAAATATAATTCTTTGTAAGTTTACATTGATACGAAACTAATTTCCCTAGTAGAAATTTCAACCTCAAAAAGTCACAAATTTTGGCTGCAAATTGTCCTCTATAAAAGCAAATTTTGAAGACAAAATGTGTGCTTATGTTTATATTTTTATCAACGCAAAGACATTCTAAGACTAACAGGCTGCTATTCCAATTCTCATCAAAAACAATAGAAAAAATTCACAAACTTTTTACTCTGCTTAGAAAATAATTCATTACAGAATTGATGCATTTCTCTTTTGGTGCATTATAAAACAATTTTCTAATACACCCACATTCAATTTTTTTATTAAAACACTTATATGAAAGAATGTTTTTGCCAGTAATATCTGATGCTGTTCTAAAATGCCCGGCTATTAGTTATGTTTCAAGGACAGATTTGAGTATGAAATTAGCTATTTGAGTCTTTTTTATTGAAGATTCAATATCAAATTTTGTCATATTTCATTGGTATACCCACATGAAGACAGAAGAATGATTGATAAAATAAATTGAAATAAAATGTCTATGTTTTTATTTCCAGCTGATAAAGCGAGTGAAGAACCAGGATTTTATGAAAAGTTGTCGGCACATTTCTTGAACCAGCTTCAGGTAATTAAATAGTCATCTTCTTTTATTACCTCACATAGTAATAGTACAACAGAAATGTGGATATGTTAAATGACTCAGAATCAATACAAATTCAATCAAGGAGCACCTGCTGCAAATTTCAACAGAAAAAGAGCAGAAAGTATTGGAATGTACATTGTTTAAAGTTCTACCATTATATCATCTATGGCAACTCTTTTTCTTCTATAAGGATCCTTCATCATTTGCATGACCCCCCTTCCCCCTATAAATCTTTTTCATGTCGGAGAACATAGCGTGACTGAATTAGAAATATCCCAAGTATAATTGTCCAAAATTTTATCCTAAAGTGTATAATTCCTAATTCCTAACCCCCCTCCCCCCCAAAAAAATGTCAAAGTAACCCCATCGGAGGTAATAACCCCAGGTTGAAAATTCCTAATCTATGGTATGATTCTGTTTAATAGTAGGCAAATCAAAAGTCATATAAGTGAGACAGATAGCTTTTAATGAGCTCATGTGATTGTGTTTAAAGAGCCCAATGCTATAAGTTATATCTCAGTCACTGTCACCACCCAATATGCTTGCTAGCCAGCCTGCTTGCTGCAAATAATTTTCATAGCATTCTAATTGCAGGTATCCATGCGTAATATCCATATAAGGTATGAAGATACTGTAACCAATGTTGATCATCCGTTTGCTTGTGGTTTCATATTGAAACAGATGTATATGAAAACAACAGATTCAAAATGGAAACCAACTAAAATTAACGAAACATTCTCAAATATGTTACATAAGGTAAGGATGAATTGAATTCAAATTTTAGTAATTTTAAGACTTCATGCTGAAGAGTTCATTTCACATGTGAACAGATCAATTCAACACAAGAATAATATTAATCCAAGATTATACAATATGAGCTAAAATGAATATAAACTAAATTTGCTTTGAAATTATGAATAACAAAATAAGTTTTAAAACGTCAGTGAAAGAAATCTTGACATGACTGGCAAATACAACCAAATCATGAAGCCTGATGATAAAATAAGCGAGAGAAAATAAAAGAAAAGATTCCAAAAACAGCTCTGATGATATTTCGTTTTTGTTCAATCTTCTAATTCATATGAAATAATATATTCCTTGCGGGTGAAAGAGAAACCGTTTGAGACTTGATAATTGAATCAGATATTATCTTATTACATTTCTATCTTTGACGTAATATCATATAATTTTACATTTCAAATTGAATATTGAAAAAATTCAAAGATGTAATAATAACTATCCAGTATCAGACCACGTATTCTTGAAACGATCTTAGCGCTAGGATGTCCTAGAATCAATGTTAGAAGATAAAAACCTAGGACATCATAGCGCTCAGATAGTTTCGAGAATACGTGGCCTGATTTGTTTTTCAAATGTATTTATAACGTTAGTTAAAATGATTTTTTGTGAAAATGTGATTTAGAATGAATATAGCCAATAGTAGAACCTTTATAATTGTAATTTAATAATAAAGCTTAGCTCCTGTATGATGAGAATATAATTCTGTAATATCAGGTTAGATAAGTTGACATAAAACTTTATCAAATTATTGTGATTGAAGCCAAATCATATTAACAATGATTTTAGCCCTCTGCCCTGTCAATCTATTTCATAGTTTAACATTGTTAATTTTCAATCTGGTTCTTTTAATCAAATAACTGGAAAGTTGAAAAAAGAGCACAGCAAAACTCTACAATTGATGTATTGAGCACTATTTTAACAGTGGTATTTCTATATTACTCTACAATTGATGTATTGAGTACTATTTTAACAATGGTATTTCTATATCACTCTACAATTGATGTATTGAGCACTATTTTAACAGTGGTATTTCTATATTACTCTACAATTGATGTATTGAGCACTATTTTAACAGTGGTATTTCTATATTACTCTACAATTGATGTATTGAGCACTATTTTAACAGTGGTATTTCTATATTACTCTACAATTGATGTATTGAGCACTATTTTAACAGTGGTATTTCTATATAGCTCTACAATTGATGTATTGAGCACCATTTTAACAGTGGTATTTCTATATCACTCTACAATTTATGTATTGAGCACTATTTTGACAGTGTTATTTCTATATCGCTCTACAATTGATGTACTGAGCACTATTTTAACAGTGGTATTTCTATATTGCTTTACAATTGATGTATTGAGCACTATTTTAACAGTGGTATTTCTATATTGCTCTATAATTGATGTATTGAGCACTATTTTAGCAGTGGTATTTCTATATTGCTCTACAATTGATGTATTGAGCACTATTTTAACAGTGGCATTTCTATATTGCTCCACAATTGATGTATTGAACGCTATTTTAACAGTGGTATTTCTATATTGCTCTATAATTGATGTATTGAGCACTATTTTAACAGTGGTATTTCTATATTGCTCTGCAATTAATGTATTGAGCACTATTTTAACAGTGGTATTTCTATATTGCTCTATAATTGATATACTGAGCACTATTTTAACGGTGGTATTTCTAAATAGCTCTACAATTGATGTATTGAGCACTATTTTAACAGTGGTATTTCTATATAGCTCTACAATTGATGTATTGATCACTATTTTAACAGTGGTATTTTTATATCTCTCTACAATTGATGTATTTTAACAGTGGTATTTCTATATAGCTCTACAATTGATGTATTGAGCACTATTTTAACAGTAGTATTTCTATATCTCTCTACAATTGATGTATTGAGCACTATTTTAACAGTGGTATTTCTATATCTCTCTACAATTGATGTATTGAGCACTATTTTAACAGTGGTATTTCTATATCTCTCTACAATTGATGTATTGAGCACTATTTTAACAGTGGTATTTCTATATCTCTCTACAATTGATGTATTGAGCACTATTTTAACAGTGGTATTTCTATATAGCTCTACAATTGATGTATTATTATTGTATAATGTCAGATTGGAAGTTTCTTCTGGATGTTTGAATCTATATCTAGTGTTATTAAATATATAAAATATCTATCTATTTATAATTCTAGTTAGTGAGATTAGAAGACCTATCAGTATATTGGAATCCCTATATACCAGAACATCATTTATTACGATCTCGTCTCAATACAGATGGCTGGAGGGTAGGTTTCTTTACTTTTCTTTTAAAAAATATGTCTGGTATTCCCTTGCCCCCGACAACTCTAGAGATGATATCCATCATGTCTGAGAAACTGGTTGTGGCCAGCTTGGTATGGCTAGTATTTCTTGTGATTTGAATCAATATAGTCAGATATTTGACTATTTCTTTCTGTAATATCACCTTCTGAAACAATATATTCACTTAAGGGCAAGAAGAGTTGTGTACTGTATTCACAATTATATGGTACATGACCGTCAGTAGTAAAATCTTGCGGTCCAGTTTCTAACAGATCTTCAGAAAACTTTGTCAATTTCTCATCATATCAGGATTATTGGAGACATTTCCAAAAAAGTTTCTAAACTTTTAATTTGTAATAAATTGGCCGCTTTTGCTTTAGTGATAGTGACGCCTAAAAATACTTGTGGAATAGCATGACTGATATAAAATTGTGGAATGGTGCTATATATGCTATCAATGCCCCTGGTACACATAAAGGGTTTTGAAAACCATTGTATAATCCCTTTAAAAACCTTGTGCTTGATTATTTAGATTTTTTCTCATATACAATTCCTGTTTATAATATTAAACTCTAGTGTTTATTATTTTTCAGAATTTATTACGAATATCTATTGATTCACACAGTATATTTGAAGAGGAATTTGACTTCAGTAAGTTAAAAGTGTTGTTGATCCAAAACCATGAACTCTCTGCCAAAAAATATGATAATGTTTTAGCATGATGCAGCCACAAATTACTTCAGATATTAAACATTTGTAATTTTTAGGGGGACGCTGGCTTTCGATTATTCATAAATGATTCAAATATATTTTTTTATAAAATTTGTTTCGATGTGTTTCCCCGTCGTCCTCAGGCACATTATGACGACGGGGAAACAAGTCGAAACGTTGTATAAAACTTTAACCAGTGATTGTTTTTCCATAAAGCTGTGTCTATATATCGTACTCACAATTGCTAAATGCCATTCACAGACTTTAATACATGTATAAGGTGTTTTCCACAGAAAAGATAACACACTTTATATATAATAATATCAATGTAGATGTTGTTCTCAATCATTATTTAATATATATTTTATAGTTATGGAACCAGTTACAGCTCAAGCCAGATTAATATTAAGTACAGAAAATAATTTCTCCCTTCCAAAGCTCTTCATTGACTTCACATTGGAGGAAGTAGAGATACTTCTTTCTCGACAACAGGTACGTCTTACAATCTTTTAGAATTTCACTGAATTTACAATTTCAACAACGTGGATAAAGATTTGTGTAAATGCTTTTGGTTGACTGATATATGTGTAAAAAAGATTCAACTTTTTCTGTAAAATTTCTATTTGCAATCCCCTTTACTGCTTGGATTGAAGATGTTCTGTTGAATTTCTATTTGCAATCCCGTTTATGTCTTAAGAGAGTTGGCCCCTTGTCAGCCTGTACCACTTTCCACTTAAACAAAAGAAGAAATTTGTTTAGAAAAGCAAAGAAAAAATTTAAAAATTGTTCTACAAAGCTTACCAATAGAGTAAGTTCACAACCAAATGTAGACAATCATATTGTGTCCCCACAACTAAGTAGTAGGCATCATTCCCTATGTCCATTGTCCGTAACGTACCTGCCCCCATGTCCATGACTACAGTGTTATCGTCAAGGAAAAAAGAAAGCATCATGTTTGATAGATCAGAGATATATTTTGAATTTTAATATTTTTAGTTTGATTAATTTTGATATATTTCAGTTTTTAAACTTGCTCAGTGTAGGCGATTCCTTCCGAATGATGTCAATTAATCAGCGCTATCGTAAATATCATCCTAATACTCCATTAAAAGTCAGTCCTAGATCCTGGTGGAAATACGCCAATACTGCTATACTAGAGGAAATAATACGACCATTTTCATGGGAAAGAATCAAAGAACATAGGTGAGCATTTTTGAGAAAGATAGTTTGATGCAATCAAGTGTAATAAGGAGTGACTTAGCCTTCCCACTTTCAAAAAACCTGAATTAAATATATGTGAAAGCTTCACCTTTATCTTCAATTAGATATTCAATTCAGCCTCTCTACTATTTTGATGGCTCCGTACTAGCTGGGGAATTCAAACCTATTGCACCTAATTACCTAGAAGGGGCATTAGACTGGCTACACACTTGACTATATCAATGCCTTTCCTACTATATGTTGCTTGTATATGTTAAGCAGCAATAACGGGTGTGGTGCAAGACAGTGTATACTCACTCTTCTAGACACTTGATACCACTTTTCATTATGATATACTTACTCACTTTCTCATGTGAAAAGTTCATTAGCTGCTACTATGTAGATGTCTGTATGTTGTTTTAGGTTTCAGGTTTTGTTTTGTGGTTTGGATCATTATTACTTGGTTTATTTACTGTTATTTTTTAATATCCCTCTAAAGTACTTTGTATGATGATTATTAGGAGTAAATATAAGAAGTATAAGGATCTATATAAGAAGAGTCTGGAAGAACCAGACCATGAATCAATTAAAAGTAAACTATGGGAATTAGAAGAAAGTTTAGATGTAGCTAATATTTTGATAGCCAGGGAACAGGCTAAAGTTGAGGTAATTATATTCAAATTAAGGGATTTTGTGTCATTTATTGGAAGGATATGTTAAGAAAAAAGGATTTAAGAACATCAGGACATCTTTTACTGCTAAACAAGAGGTCTAGAGACGTGACTACTTTACAGAAACTTTGTCATATACTTTGACTGCAATAGCCACTATTCTAGCATCGCAGAATGCAGCGATTTGATTGTACTCCAGCAAACACAGCTAATCAGAGCCCTCGACAGAAAGACTGTATTTATAATAGCTTATTGTTTATAGACATTTTGTCAAGAGCTCTGATTGGCTGTACAATTCAATCAAATCGCTGCATTTACAACTTGATATGTGATACAAGAAAGGTGGTAATTTTATTACAGTCTAGGTTTAAGAGGAAGTTCATAATAGCTTGACATTGTAAAGACTGAGACAAGATGGTTCCTTATATTTTGAACCCTTGTCAGTGATGCATTTTGAGAGACCCTGACCCTTAATCCCAATTTCTAAATAAAGTATCTGTTCCACCCATTCATTAATATTTTGTCCATTCATTCATTCCCTATAGATTTTATGATGTTTAAATTGCAGTTTGCACACGAAGCCCCTACTAGAGCTAGGAAAAAGAAGGTAGAAAAAGGCTGGTTTAGTTCGTGGTTTGGTGGTAGTAAAGAAGAAGAGATAGAAGTAGAAATAGACAATAAAAATCAAGGTAACGATATTAACAACAATAAGGTGATTCTCATGGTTGGTGTGCATTTTAACAGCCAGTTATTTTAGAAAGATTCTTTTCAAGTGTATATTTTCATAATGGGTTAAAATTTTTCAGATGAATTTATAGAACTTTTACTTTATGTTGATATAGAGTTAGCAAAGTAAATATTTTTCCTGCATATTCAAAACTAGCAGCTGCATTACTGGCCACTGTGTAACTGAGCAACCATTACCGTGTGACATCACATAATATTAGACATAAGGGGATGAAAGTCGACTCTCTGAGGCATTGGCACAGGCATTAGAATATTTCTTCCCAGGATTCAAACCCACAGAACCTAAATGCCAAGCAGACAACAATCTATGGTTGACTGTCATTATGTTATTATGACTACTGGTTTTTATTTAGATTGGCTAGCTGAGTTAAGTGAAGATGAGAAATATAAACTTTATCAAGGAATAGGATATGATGTTAAAGCCAGTGTTTTATCTACACCAAAAGAGGTTTGTATACACTGAAAGTCAGAGCTCTCAGAGTTTTTTTTAAAAATGACATAAGAAAGAAATCAATCGGGATCAAAAAAAGATGTTGAATTACGCAGAATGTCGGAATAATCAGATGGCGGATATCACAGAGTACTCTGTACTGTATTTAATCCTTTATATTAACCATATTAAGTATTCTTGATTAGTGTGTCCCTTACATTGAGATATAGACAGTAAAATTATTACTTACATACTTGTTTCATACTGGTGTACACTTTCAGATTTTTCAACCTGGTTTCCCTCTGTCAGTGATGCAGGTTAGAGGAACTGACAAGGCGGGGGGTCTATCGTTTAGATGGGACAATAAACTGAGAGGTTTTGAGGGTTAATTTGATTTTCATATGATTTTGTTGACAATTTCTTTTTTTGTATAATTCATTAAAGTAATGAATAATTGTTTGTATATTCCAGTATGTAGCACATAAAGTACAGATAGTATTAAAGAGTTGTTGTGCATCATTAGTAAACTATAGTAAGAAGATACTACAGATGTCCGTCACAAATTTATTGACTACTTTAGAACATAGACCAGTTGGTCACGGTGTCCGGTAGGTATTTTTTTATTTAAGGGGTATGTCAATGTGGTGTAGGCCAAGAGAATAAATTTTAAATTCATATTATTGATGGTCATTTTCATATGGTATGATATTTAAACATATATGTTGGTAGGTAGCAGATTTCATTGATTTGATTTTAGACAGTGAAAGGAGACAATAAACTCCAGGTACTTGTAAAAGATAAGTACTGACTGGAGTGCTGTTATTTGACTTTAGAGCATTTTTCATTGTTTGTGGTCTCATAGATTTTGGTTTGTCTATTTTCTAGTATTTCCTTGTTTTTATGCATACCTTGTGGACTCCTGAAGCTGTGGAAATGCTGAGCCATTCTTATCCTCTTCAAATGAGCCCCCATAAGTAATAATAATTACTCAGTATGTGAATGAATGAATGAGTAAGCTTATATATTATATTATATATTGAACTATTACAGAATATCAATGAATACAGAGAGTTTTTCTATTGATGGTGCGTCTATAGAACATGAGTTAATACCCATTTTAACTTCTGATATAGGAGTATACGGTAAGTTTTATAAATAATGCATATTTTAATATTGTTCAGGATTGTCTATTCTTGAAAGCTTAAGAAAAAGTTGTCTGTATACAACAGAGTGTAGCATCTCAGTCAGTCTTATTCTTCGTTATATGGAGATAATGTTTATCTTACGTTTTAATCTTAATCCTTTGTAAAAATGAAATAAGTCAGTACTCCAGTTGACACTGCTATAATTTGATAGGATAAAACAAGATAGGTCTGGTGGAAGGAACATCATGTATGGCATTGGGTCATGTTTATTCCTACCTAGATCCTCAGTCGTGATATGTGGATTTGATATTGTCACTCTTTTAGGGCCTGACATCTAAAGACATCTGATCTTTAGGGCCAGACATGAAATGTTGTTTTATAAGAGAGTTGAGCCGGACCCAAAATGGTAGCATGTTTTTGAGAATTTTCTTCATGACAGAAACCAAATTTGACAAAACATTTCATAAATTTATTAGTTAAGCTGTGAAAATTTGGGAGCAATGCTGTATGGATGTTTGTTGTGATGTAGCCTATATATTAATTTTGTTTCTTTCAGCCCCAGCAGTGAATCAAGTTTGTACATTAGATTTCCAGGTCAAACCTCTATATGTAGAATCTGATTACTCTCTTACATTAAATGTACAGCCAGTAGAAATAGTCTATGATGAGGTAAGAGTCTTTATTAAACATACAGCCAGTAAAAATAGTCTATGATGAGGTAAGTTTAAAATATGGCCTATTGCCTATTGTTGAAAAGTAATCTATATATTTTTCCACTGCCTGAACTTCTAAATATACATTATTCCTTCCTTACCAGCATTCTATAACAGAAGTTGCAGCATTTTTCCAAGTACCACAAGGTATAATAGATATGAGGACTGCTGCCTTGGAAACTCTACAGAATTTATCAGATTATAGCAGAGCTGGTTTACAATATGCCATTCTACAACATCAGGTATGCTTTGGTTTTTGACGCCTAGGAAAACTTTAATTTAGATTGGTGTATGCGTTGATTTGCTTCGAAATACAAATAATATTTTAAAATATCTATATAAAGGTCTTAAATCAGAGTATAAACTAATAATAATGGTGAGATTTTTGTTGTTGAAAAAAACAAAGTTTTAATAAAAAAGAGAATGAATTTCATGAAATAAAAATTAGAATTTTAGTGGTTGAGCGATCAATTAAAACAAAGTTAAAATTATTGTAAAATGTTTTTGTGAATAGGGTACCTGGATTAATTGTAATATGGTCTTTTATTTTTCTAGACTATACATTTAGTTGTAAATATGAGATCACCTTATATTGTTGTTCCTGAATTTGGAACTCTTCATAGGTAAGTCAGTTCATGATGCTGGGACGAGGGTAAAAAATTGTGGGTGTTTTTTTCCATTTCATTCCAACAGCCATTCATTTTTTATTTTCATCCGAACAAGGCTGTTATCAGATAAAATGAAGGAGAAGGGTGTGCTTTCTAAGTGTCATTCAAACCTTGCATGCAAGCCACATAGTCAAATATACTTAAACGTGGATAACAAGTACTTTTTACCTTAATCTTTATCAAGCAACTCTTTAATTTTAGAGGAGGGAATGTGTTGATAGCTGATTTTGGTACGTTACAAATACAGAGTGAACTACAACCTGAAGATGTTTCATTAGAGGTGATGATCAGTTTAGTTACAGACAAAATTGTGCAATACTATTCCAAATACGATTTTAGTTGGAATGCAAAGTTCCGATGAAAAAATTTCCAACAAGGGGGATCAAAATAGATCTTAGATTTGCAATTTTCTTGAAATATAAAGATTACCGAGGAATGTAGAAATTTATTTAATAATCATATGCCTAGTCCTCTGGATGATTTTTGGGGGGTTTGGTTGTCTTCATAGTTATGTGTGTTAGTATGGTGTTTATTATAATTGTTATATGTGGTATATTCTCATCCTGCATCTTCTAATGGACTTGTTGCATTGCAAAGTTCTTGTATCCATGATGTATTTCCAAGTTTGGACTCAATCAAGTAACAATGAGCTCTCTCCACTTTCAATTATAACTTTCCATGTCAAAATCCTTTAAGGGCAACAAAGGCGTATGTTTTATCTATTCCAGGACGCTACGATGTCAGAAATAGAATCTCGTTTGTATGATCAGTTTAACGTAACTATTACTGATGTTAAAGTTTTACTAGCTGATTCAGGTATTTTATACTTTATTAACAATATTTTATTCAGGTTAATGTATGGTTTGGCCTTTATTTGAATTTCTTTTAAATCTATCTTTTATAGCTATCTGTGAAAAAACAAACCAATAGTTTACATCTCAATGGCCAAGATTTTCCAGACCACATCTTCTTGTTGATGGTTTCTTATCATATTTATGGACAAATGTTTGTTTAAATAAAATTGATAGAATGTAACTATACATGTGAATTGTTTGTATATCATGTTTATATATTACAGGTGATGATTGGCATACAGCCCAAACACAAGCTGATTCTGAGTACCATATTTTACCTTCTGTTAGAGTTGTGGTTTCTTTCTTCAATGCTGTAAAACAAGACTATACACAACTACCAAGGTAACATCATTTCAAACTCTTCGAAATTCCTGTTTAGAAGCTTAATGGGATTCATAAGAGGTTTTTAAGGAATTCTTGTGAAATTTGGGGAAATTTTTGCTTATTTTTTCAGTGTTTTCATTTTTTGTCTATGATTCCGGTAAATACAGAAAACTGTAGAAAACTGTATTTTATGTTTTGCCACAATTGCTACATTTTTCAATATCTTTACAAGTCAATAGTCTGTTTTCTTTTTAGTTTTATCCTTTTTCTTTCAGACAAAAATTAATAGCCAGTCTTCCTACATTGAAAGTCAATATCTCCGACAAACGACTGTTATTACTAACATCGTTTGTACGTAATTTCCCCATACCCGCTAGTACTAGTATGTCAGCTCTAGGTGATGATCTAGTAGATAGTATGATGAACATGGTACCCTCGGTCATATCTGTGGTAAGTTTTTTGTCTTTTCAATAATTTTGGTGATTTTGATTCAGGCATAGTTGTAGGCCATTAAATTTAAAAAGCTTGGAAATATTGTCCTTGGTCTTCTCAATTCATTCTGTGTTTTAGTCTTTAGAGTGAAGAAGTTCCTGAAAACTCCTATGTAAAGCTCTGGCCAAGGTCACATAAAAAGAGATCTTTTAGATATTACTAGGGTGGAGTTAGTGTTTAGTTTTTGGTTATATGGCATGTAATCTTTGTAAATGCACAGATTTTGCAAGAGGAAACTAGAGGAGAAACTTTATAATCAAATTTTGTTAACTTTAATTAATTGTAGACAGTATATTTTATAATGCCTTACACATTATCGTTTAAACATGAAAATGTGTTTTTATACTCCCACATCTCTCTATGTGGACGTATACTGTCGGCTCCCCTGTCTGTCCGTCCGTCCGGCAACATTTGCTTGTAAACGCTCTAAAAACTAGATTTTTTGATGGAATCAAATGAAATTCGGTATGTGTATACATATTCGTATACGAAGATCATGTTCGAATTTGAGCTATTTTCGACCGTTAGAAGCAGAGTTATTGCCCTTGCACCAAAATCTCGAATATTTACCATCTGCATGCCGTGGTGGGCGTATATGGCTGTGGTTTACTATCTTTACTTTTACCTGTCTCAAAAACTATGATCTCTGAAAGAGGAATATGATAATATATTTCCCACCTTTATTCCTACAGGATTTATCAGAGACTCAAATAGAACCAGATATAACTTCATTACGGAAAATAAGAAGTTCAGTTTTAGGTCGGCCATTGGTAGAAAAATCAAATGTTAAATTGTCTAAAAGCAGCCGAAAATCTCAACAAGATATTCCTGTTCTTAGAATCTCATCTGGTAAGTTTTCCTGAATTATTATTGGGGAGTGATGTAGTTCTGTTGATTATTTATTCTGCTAAGTTTCACTGTATTATCGGAAGAGTTGTAGCTCATGTGTTTAAAATCTATTCTGATAACTAGCAGTTGATTCTACTACATTTGTATTCAATGTGATTGCGATAAGAAACATTCCCTATGTTTCTAGTTTAATTTGTATTTTTTTCTGATTTGTAGAAGATGATTTTTATTCAGCATCTGATAAATCTGATGAAGAAATTGATGAATGGACAGAGTGAGTTGTTTATCTTTTAACTTTTTGATTGAGGAAGTTATGGTGGCCCTACTTAAAATTTTTCAGGGCCCTGGATTCTTCCCAGTACCAATTGACTTAAACGCAAGATTAATATCTATCACTTTTATTTTTACTACTGCTTAGCAATAGACAAACAATGTAAGGCTACAGATTCAGTCCCATCAATGGACAAGATAGTATGTCTCCTTGCATCAAAATGCAGCTTAAAATACGTGTCAATCAGTTTCAGTCGTCGCTAAAATTGTACATATCATAATGATCATACATGTATTATTCTCCTTGCATCAGAAATATAGCTTAATAGGTGTGTGGTCCATTTTCAGTCTATGCTAAAAGTTCTGTACCAATAGATGATAAGTATCATCAGAAATACTGTTTATATTGTGTGTTATCTATTTTCAGCCTACGCTAAAGTTCTGTACAAATAGATAAAAGTATCATCAGAAATACTGCTTATAATGTGTGTTATCTATTTTCAGTCTATGCTAAAGTGATGTACAAATAGTTTATTTTTCTTTCTAGTACTATAAAGATCAAACCAGTGGATGATAATTCTTCACAATATAATACTGTCAAAATATTAATTCGTATGAGGTTGGGAGAATTTGTCATTAACCTGTCACGGGTGTTAGATAAAACAGATACACCATATCTCATGTTTAGACTAGATAGATTACGAGTGGATTCATCAATAACAGAATATGGCTATGCAGCCCATGCTACTCTAGGTGGAATACAGATGGTGGATAAAGTACATGTTGGTAAGTATTGACAGTTAATACTTCTCCTGTGATTTTGTATTTGTTTCAGAACATATGCCTACAGTTCAACTACCAATTACTACAACTACTACAACCACCTCGTCTCCACTGGAGGCGAATGTTAACTTGTCATCTACAGACAGAGAGGCTTACAGTTCAAAACTGTGATTGTGGATTTTTCCAATCTGACATTTTTTGACAGACTGTGAATTCGGACCACAAAGTCAAAATTCAAAATTGTCCTATTTTGTTTGAAAAGGTGTTCAAACTAGGGGGGCTGTATCTATTATGTGATATTAATGTAAGATTATTGATATGTTCTAGGATCATCTGGTGAATATATGGAAGTATTAAATACACAATCTACTTCAGATCTGATAGCTGTTACTTATAGAATGGTAGGATATTTTCTTACATTTTCTTGGTGCATCAAGGACTGATATCTTTAAATAAATCTTACCAATTATTTTGAGATATCAGCCTGAAACAGTATTGATAATCTTAGAATGACATGGCAGTAGTAAGAAACTGATAGATGTGTTTGCTATCTGCAGGATCTAAGGGCAATCTTGGCGTAAGTTTTAGATTTTAGGGGACCCTCTATCAGTGGCGAATCAGGACTGAGGCTGGATCAGCTTTGGACTTGGTTTGGCCCCCCAACTCTCAAATTTTTTCATCATATCACATATGGAATGCTTGGTATCATGAACCCACCTTGACAATTTTGTGGCATTCATAGAAACACCAACAGAATGTAGCTTGACTGAGATGACATGGAAATGACTATCAATCGGATCTGACAGACTGTAGCCTTACTGTATTACAAGCTGTGTATTTGGAAATAACTTCTTATCATGATCATCGTGGTACAAGCTCCTTTTTACTGTAAACTTTTGCTCATGGAATAGGCAAATGACCTTCAGTAAAATGAAAAGTTTCATCAAGAAATCTAACATCTCCCTATTTTAGGAAGTAACGAGTCTAGCTTTGATTTTTTACAGGTACAAGCTGATTGTCCCGATTTTGAACAAGTTTATAACAGTGTTGAAAATAATGTATTAATCAAGTTTCAAGCCATGTCTGCCATGTTTGATCAAGCCAGTATGATTTATCTCAATGTTTTCATGAATGGTTTAATTCAGAGGTAAGATGAGTTCTTGTTTGTCTTCTATGTAGTGATATAACCGCCCTGATGAGGATTTTATATCAGAAATGCATATTGGCAGTAGGATATGCGCTCTTGCTGGTTTGATATGAGTGAAAATCTTCATAATGTAGAATATTCTTCCAATTGTATGGAACCTGACATTCAATATTTACCCTATGCCTTACCCTGCCATAATGGGTATACACCCACTTCGTGATAGGTGCACATGGAACACATTCTGAACCCTGTTTCAACTTGTTTTATTGAATGTCCAGTTGATTCCATGAATCTGGAACGTGCAGAGCTCACCAGTCGAGCGGTCAAAAGATGAATATAGTACATAAATCTAGAACAAGCAGAGCTCACCAGTCGAGCGGTCAAAAGATGAATATAGTACATAAATCTAGAACAAGCAGAGCTCACCAGTCGAGCGGTCAAAAGATGAATATAGTACATAAATCTAGAACAAGCAGAGCTCACCAGTCGAGCGATCACAAGATGAATATAGTACATGAATCTAGAACGTGTAGAACTCACCGGTCAAGCGGTCACAAGATGGATATTAAACACTATCTAACTATATATTCTATGATATTTCAGTATACAGAATATGGATATGAAGACCAGTACCAGTACAGTAACATCAGATTTAGCTAATAAAGATGGATTTAACATCACAAATAAACTAACAGCTATTACTGATGAAGGTAAGTCATATCAAAGGATTTTTAAAGTGGTTTTCTTAATTTTTATGTGCATCAGGGTTGTTTATGGCAACCATTTGCACCATTCCAGTTTTAGTCAGAGGTCTGTTGATCTTACATTTCCACCAACACTAAACATTTTATAACATCACTATTATAAATGCTGCTAATGCTTAATTTAAGTGGAATCGCAAGACCTTAAGACATTCGACGGAATAATGCTTATGGAAGTTCTCAGGGCCTATTTCTACTAGCTAGTTCTAGATCTCTTTAACACTAGCAGCTGCTCTACTAGTCACAAAATTACTTGATACCCTTGCTTGTGTTTCAGTTGATAATCTTCCATCTAAAGGAATCAAGTTGTATCTAGTGGCCAAGTTACAGAATCTAACTCTAAAATTCTGTGATTGTGAATGTAGTTTTGGTGAACTCAATATAAATGGTAAGTCACTTAAAGTTTACCAAATAACTGAGATATATGAGCTCTCAAAATTAAAGCCAAATTGACTAAATTACAGTGATGAACAGAATAGTTGCAGTTGTAGATGAGTGTTTTGGAGAAAGGTTAAATGTTGTGCCTTGTTTTTACTGGTTACAAGATATTTTCTTGTCTGTCCAAGCATAGAACTTTTTAAACAAATTGTCCCAAGCAAATGCCATCATAAGATATCTAGAGTTCTTATTGACTGAGCTAAGTACCATACAATTGTGAATATAATGCTCACCATTCTCACCCTCTACTAAATCTAAATAAAAATGTCTGTCACCATAAATAAAATGCACCATCTATCTAGCCCATACTTATTTTACAAATTACTAAATTTTCAGATTTTCTGGGTCATGTTGTAGCTAAGAACACCAGGACGACTTTACGGTGCCGATTAAAAGACTTGTCTTTATTAGATACATCTATTGGTGCTATTTACCCAAAGGTATGAAAGTTTTATATATTTTCCTTATAAACATCTTTATGTATGGTAGTGAGACTCATTGCTCCCGTGGCCTAAGTTAGGTGATAGGAGATAAAAGTGGACCTCTGTCCAATATTTGGAAGCACTGACAATGGAGTCATAAATTCCCAGCAGACGATAATTGACAAAGGCTTCAGTTAGGGGATAGGGGTTGAAAGCAGACACCAGCCTGACTTTTAGAAGCACTGACAGTGGCATCATAATGGCCCAGCAGACGACAATCGACAGAGGCTTCAGTTAGGTGATATCGACTTTTACAATGTGGTTTGGGTCAAAAGCCAACACCAAGCTGACTCTTGGTAGTGATATACATCTATACTACATTTGTCCATTCAACTAACTTCCATTTTCAGTAGATATAAATTTATTATATTTTTTAGATATTAGCATTAGAAGATAAAAATAGTGTATTTGATGCTAAGGTGAGGTGCCTGTTATTTTTTTCACTTAAAACGTTTGTTTTAGGGGCATGAGCTCATATGATTTTGAGACAACTAGAAGTGCTTGCAGGAAAAAAGTGTCAAAATTTGTACAAAAATTAAACAAATCACTGTCGAAACACATAGATTGAGAGGGGCTGAGATTATAATAGGACAATTATTTGAACATATTTATTGCAGTCAAGAGTGGGTGCTGGTTTTTAGTGTGGGGTTTCTTGTACAAATTTAAAGAGGATATGGTTTACAGAGATTTTACTGTATTTACCTGTTTTGGTTTGAGATAATCAGTCTGTTTTTTGAAACGATTATATTCTGGTTTTCTGTCTATATTGTTTCTGATGGAATAATCAGCCTATTGTTTTTAATAACATACTAAATCCTGTCTTTACAGCTAGTGAAATATAATAAATCTGATGAGTTAAGATCTGATAATAAACTAAAACATGAAGGACTAGATTATAGTTTACGTCTGCATGTTGGACAGTTTCAAACTGTTTTACTGGGTAAATTCTACTGGGAATTAGCTGTAAGTTTTTTACCAGGTTTCTCAATTTCTTTATTACAAGATTTTTATTAAGATATTATTTCATGTGTCAGCAATGTAAGATTAGGATCAGGAAATAGACAATGAATTCTCAAACAAGACCTTGATAAAGATTACTGTTTGAAAACTCTAATATTAAAGGAAGGAGTAGTATAAAAAATGAGTCTTTATAAGTAAATGCCTATCAAACAGTAGAAGAAGTGGTATATCCATGATATTGCTTATTTATCTAATGCTCCGTCTTCTTTTAGATGTTTTTGAAAGATTTTAAGAACTGAGTCGTATTCAGGCTCATTCAGTAATGTTGGTATTTTTATTTTAGAGATTTTTTGAGCCGTTTATCAATAAAGAAATGACAGAAGCCGCCAAAACAGTAGCAGTAGAGACAGTTGTTCGACAGGTATTGATTTCTTAAAAATGATTTGAGTATTATAATACATAAATAAGCTATTTGATTTATTATCTCACTAAAACCCTGGTTCCCAATCTGAGGTGTTTTCACCCCCTGGGGTGTCAGGGGTGTGGACAACTGTTGTAGGAGAAGGTTTTTTTGGGGGGATATTATTTGGTTCCAAAGATTACACCAGGGCTGTGAAGGCTGTAAAAAAGGTTGGGAACCACTGTAGTAAAATCAGCTGAGAATGAGATTCTATATTATAACAGTTTCTTATTTTATGATTATTTGAAAGCTTATCTAAATAGGATGAAATTGAATTTTTAAGATATCTGATTTAACTGAATGTAAAATGGATCTTCATGATGATTCAAGTTAAGTTTTTGAGAATAGGAATCCAGTTTTTTCTGAAATTTTGTATTGTAAATGTATTGTATTTCTATATACCTTTGAATTTAGGGTAGAGATTGCATTTTTATGTGTTTTTATCTAACACCCCTCCCCCCTTCCTATATGATATCTGTATCTTTATATTACAGTACGATGAAATAGAAGAACATAATTTAAGAATAACTTTACGACTAGATCTGAAAGCTCCAACCATATTAATACCAGAGCATTCTAAATCAACTCAGATGTTTCTGGTGAACCTTGGAAACCTCAGTATTAAAAATTATTATGATTTTACCACTGTATCAACTGATATTAAACAGGAATGGAATCATATTTATCTACACTTAAATCAGGTCCAGGCTGACAGGTAAGATTCTGATACATTGTTATGTGACTTAAATTAAGATGATTTTAGTATTCTAGACTTCTGATTGGTCAATTGCTAAAATTGATTTTCAATTTAGTTTTATTATCCAATCAGATTACTGTATTTCTTAAAATCTGTTATGTTTTCAAGTATTAGGTCGCAGGATGTTTTCTTTCTTATTTCCTGCAGTTGAATAAACTCATTCTATGTTTTTTTTTGAAATATGAAACAGCATCAAGACTAATTTATACTTAGCGATCAAAAACACTGTAAGAAATGAACAAAAAAAGCATGTCAATACTTAACATCATCTACAGTTGAGTAATGAATGGAAATGAATGTTTTATATCCTCCTTTCTTACACCTGATTGGGCTAATGCAATGCCATGCAGTGTGCAATAAGGGTTAATCTTGTCAGGACGATGCCATTAGCCTACTCTTTTTCGATTTCCAAATGATCACCTTTTTTGTTGTTTTCCAGAGTACAGTTATGCCTCGCTGATGATGTGTGTAATGTATTACATACTGTCATAGAGCCTGTTAGTTTAAAATCTGATATACGTCTGGCCATGAAACCTGTCATATCAGACGTTAAACTTGACATCTCCGGCCATGTTGATAAAGTTCAGGTAAATCTTCAGAGTTTCCCAAAACTATAAGGCCTATTCCTTATTTTGAAAGGGGTACAGGGTTTCATTTATAAATTCACTTATTAGCGGCGAAATGTTCATTATATTGTTGACGTAAACTAAAATGGGTTTACAATGGAGTAAACTTTGAAATAATTTGACAGGTAACAAAAATCACCCCTTTTTTTACAAATGAACTCTTCCAATCATACATAAACAGCTTCATTCTGACTTAAAGTATGCATGTGTGGAAAAGTTCAAAAGAGGTTGAGGGGTGTCAAGTAGATGACTGGCCCACTATTTCAAGCATTGGCGAGAATACGTGAAACCTCAATCTTTTGTTAAATATATGTATTATGTCTGTTTTTAGATAAATATTCTACAGAATGATCTGAAGTTAGCATTATGTATATTAAATGAAAATGCAAATGAAGGCTCACCACAGACGGTGAAACCAGGTGGGTTTTTATATGATGATTGAAAGGGCTATAGTCATCTAATTATTCAGTATCCCACCTGATGGACGTCTCCTGCCATGAAAATTTGACATCTGAATCAATTCAACATTTGGTTGTTGTTGTCACTTCGTCAATATATAGAATTTTTATTTAATTGCAGACAATCTGCACTTTTGAATTTTAATCTGGGACATGATATAGTCAGCTTAAAAAAGGCCTGAAAATGAACTAGACTAGTAGTGTACATCATGCCTTACAAAGATAATACTTTCTATATTGTTTGATATACTGTTTGATAGGTATTTAGTGATTGACACCAAATAGAATATAAGTCTTTTATGGATAACAATCACTATATTTCTTAAAGACAATGTTTCAACAAGATACCACTGGTCGTTATCAAGTTTACAAAATATAATACTTTCTAGATTATAATGAGATGATTTATATGGTGTTAAGAACATTGTTGACATATTGTTTACACAGACCATTCCTAGTAATCTAATGTGTTGAACCCTGCAAATGGCGTTAGCTACTTTGAAGTTTCAATTTTCCAGTAAGGTGTGGAACTGTGTATATGATTTGAATTGTAGCAGGTTAGGCAGAAATATCTCAACTAAAATAGCCCTAGTATTCATTGCTCTCCCTCAAACAGCCTTTCATTTTGATATTATTTCAGATATGTTTGAATCTCCTACAATGCAGAATATAGCTGAAGTTAGTTTAGATAATACTGCTCAACCTGCAGCAGGATTACGAGATCACAGTGCGAGTAAATCATCTACTAATATACTATTTAGATTAGATGGTGTTTCAGCTTTACTATTACATCAACCAAACTCTAAAGAGGTTTGTGCAATTGTTGTTTTTGTTTTTGTCAATTATTACAGTAAATAACGGACACAATTTTATGGTGTACTACTCCCTAGTTTTATTATACACTACATTTCAACAATCTACATTGTCATCATCAGGTGAAAATGACAGAACTCAAGAGTAGTATACAATTAAATTGTGTCCGTTATTGAATGTGATCTCTACCCTAAATGTCGCTAAAGGATTAATTATTACAGTGGTTTAACATGGCCTTTATGATAGCTGATTTGTAACTTGTACGTATATTATATATGTACTATATGCTGAATAATGAGAAATCAGTAGGTTTTTTTCAATGATTTTTTCTAAGTTATAAGAAAACATATCGTTGTCATCTGTTTTTTGGTTACAAAATCATTGTCAAGATAGTTTGTTAAAACGGTGTAATGTTTTATAAGAGAAACTCTCTTATAGAAGCACTGACGGAGGTCACAAGTAGGGACTGTGCGCTGTCCGTGACAACAAGAAATCCAGAATCATTCAAAGACATTTACAGTTGGCTATCGGAAATGACGAGGAATGGAACAAGCTGTTGTTTGGAGTAACCATCGCTCGTAAAACGGTGTTAGAAATTTTTTTTAAGTTATACATGTTCACAAAAACACTTGAATTCTTTTTTTCCAGGCAAGTTCTATAAAGGAAGAGCTATGTAAACTAGATATGAATGATTTAAGTTTAAATGGTATTTATCATAGTGATGGTGATTTAAAAATAACCTTTAACCTTCAGACTATAGCTATTAATGATATTAGATCTAATAGTACATTCGCTGATAAAAGGTTAGTTTTAGTAATGTAATGATCATATACTGTATATTTGTGAATATAATGCGCACCCTTTTAGTGCACTAGAGCTAGTCTGGAAAATTCTTTTATTTTAAAGTGATACTACGTCTTAGAATGAACATAAAATTTAATTCTCAAGAATGGTCAATATGAGTATATATTCATCTGTTATTTTACCTGGTGTCAACAAATTACAACAGAATTCCTGTAAAATCTGTAAAAATTGATAAAACTATGTAAAACTATCATAATATTAAGCGTTTTTCAATAGTTAATTGCATTTTTATTAATTTTTTCGATTTATCGGATTATATAAGGATCCTGTTATGTTATTTATGACACCAGGTATATCTACTGATGAATATATGCTCCTATTGGCCAAGTTTAAAATTTTTAAATTTCATGTTAATTCTAAGACGTAGTAGCCCTTTAAATGGGCACCCTTACCAATACTGTAGCAAATCAAAGTCTTCTATTTTTTAGAAAAGTGATATACTATGTGTTATTGTGATTATAATGCACACCCATACTTATACCTCAGCAAGTTTTGAGAAATCTCTTTCACTGTAAATAATGTGCACCCTAAATAACACAAGATATATAGATATACTACTTCTGAGTTTATTACATACTACGTTTCGAAACACATACTGGTAACGTTGCCAAGTAAATAGTTGGTTAATCATTATTTACTTGACAACGTTACCAG